TTTTATTTTTAGATCTGCCTTGCTTTCCCACCCCGCAAACCTAATGGCTGGATGCTGTATAAAATGCATCTTTGGCATTTATATAGCCCCATTACCATAGCTTTTGAGCATTTTGTACACTTTAATGCATCGATTCTATATGTATTTGTGTCAACAGGCCATGGATTTTGTTACAGGCATTCGCCTGATCCATGAAGGGGGAGATAAGCAAAGATAGGTCATTATGGGAGGGGATTGTTTTATAGATGAAGATTCAAGGCGCCGAACGGGGGGAAATGACTTGCTAAATGGGGTCGTAGGAAACGTATCAGCAGCAGTGCTTTGTAATCTCAAGCCCCAAAGGAACATGGAAGGTGGACGTCTTTGAGCCTGTTGATGTATTATACAAAAAGAGGAGACAGATGGTGGTGGGAGATTTCTGAACTGTACTCTTCAAAGTGCAGATGGGGAGTCAAACTTTGGAATATTCCCCATTACTAGAAGCTTCTTACAAGCTGTGGCACAGAATGGAAGGCCAAATCCTGCTTGCTCCAACAGACCCAATTTCTCCTGGCCATGGGAGGTGGGGGGAAAGGCCCAGAATGAACTCTGTGCATGACTATGGTGGAATCTACACACACATTAAGAAACGCTGTGAAAATGCTCCCCCCCCAAAAAAAAAACTTTTGAAAAATATATCAAATTTGCCATAGCTCACCATTGCCATCTAGCATCACATTTGTATATTGTACTTTACAACACATTTAAAATGTTTTATTTGCAGCTGTGCAGCTGAGGCCTAGGACCAGATGATTTTTTTAAAAAATTCTCCCTATTTCTCATCCCCCCCCCCAATCTTCAGTTCACTGCATTTCCATGTGGATTTTCAGTTAAAAAAAACACCACCACCAGTCCTCATGAAAATTCACCAGTATTTTATTGCACTTTTCTCTCAATGCACACTTTTTGGTATGCCCTATTATCCACCTTTTCACAAGCAGCTTTCCCTACTATTTTTATATGCGTTTCCCACTCATGTACTTTCTCCTAATGCATCCATTTCTGGAAACTTAAAAAAATAAATAAATTGGAGAACAGCACCATAACGTTTGGAGAAGTAAGAATTTCAAAGGATACCTGGGTTTCTGTTTACATATTGTTCTGGGAAGAGCAAAATAGGTAGGTTTGTGTTAAAATGTGAATGGAATTGAATTTCTCCCTCATCCTTATACAGGAGAGAACTGTCTGACAGTGGCAAGCCTTGCTCTTCTCTCGGGACATTCTGCTGCCTCCCCTTCATCTAATCAGGTTGTGGCAATCAGGTTGTGGAAGGAGCAATGCTGGGACTTTAGCAGACCAGAGAGAGAACTTCTCCTCTCTTCCAGGGGTGCCAACTTGAATAAAATATTGCGGGGGCCTAGGTAAGCCCCACCCCGCATAATCAATCACATGACACAGTGCTCACACACATCAACTTTGTGGGGGCCTAACCCCCTCAAATATTTTATTGTGGGGGTCAAAGCCCCCATGACATCTAGGAGATGGCTCCTGTGCCCTCTGCTCTGTTCCTTGCTTATATCAGAGGCAGCCATCGTGGTGCTTTCCAGATGTTTTGAATGAAAACTCTCATTATCCATGATCACTGACTACGCTGGCTGGGGCTGATGAGAGTTCTGGTTCATAATAGCTGGAGGGCACTATGTTTGCTAACTAGTATAGGCAGTGAGCCTGCTATATAAATTGGCCCTCCATGGCACCTGCCATCCCCTTCATAATCTTTCCCACACAAACTCTCCTCACTGCTTTCTAAACCATGCTGCACGTTGCTATGGACCTAGCGTTAGCTGCGGCTTGGTGTGGCTGAGAAGGGATTTCATCCAAGCTCACAGATGAGCTTTGCAGGTTCTGGGTTTTTATTTTTATCTTTCATGCCCTATACATTTCCCCCCTGTGGGTGTCTATTTCCCGTGTCATAGCAGTTTCTCTGTTTTCCCACACCTGATGCCGGGTCATTAAACGTTCCTCCACACGAACGGCATCTTAGACCCATGGACAAAATGCAGCCCTTTCCCCAGGTCTCTATTTCTGGCTTTGGGGACATCCCTTACTGGCTTTTGCTAAGCACCCTCCTCGAGTCCTTTTGCCTGGCTTGAATGAGTCATTGTATTCCGAAAACCCTTATTGCTCCCTGTCTGCATCCTACATTTAAAGCAGTTTCATGCTGTCTTAAACAATCATGCCTCCCCAGTGGACCCTGGGAAGCGTAGTTTGTTCAAGGTGCAGAGAGTTGTTAGGAGACCCCTATTCCCCTCGCAGAGGGACAATCCTCAGAGTAGTTAAAAAGTCTGCAGTCTCTGGGTATCAGGTGTAGAATATTAGCAAGGACCGATGGTGAAGTTCATTAATGCTGTGCCTGGGTGTGAGAGGGGAAACTAAAGGTGCAGACAGGGCAAAAACAAGTCTGTCTTTTTCTGGGCATTTAAGCCAATTGCCAAATCAGGTGATGTTTTCAAGTCCAAGCCTTCCACTGCCCCCCTCTTCAGCATGCCCTACCACTGTTGGAGCCCTGATAGGTAAAGGTAAAGGGACCCCTGACCATTAGGTCCAGTCGCGGATGACTCTGGGGTTGTGGCACTCATTTCACTTTATTGGCCGAGGGAGCCGGCATACAGCTTCTGGGTCATGTGGCCAGCATGACTAAGCCACTTCTGGTGAACCAGAGCAGTGCACAAAAACGCTGTTTACCTTCCTGCCAGAGTGGCACTTTGATGTGCTTTCAAACTGCTAGGTTGGCAGGAGCAGGGACCGAGCAATGGGAGCTCACCCCGTCGCAGGGATTCGAACTGACGACTTTCTGATCGGCAAGCCCTAGGCTCTGTGGTTTAACCCAAAGCACCACCCGTGTCCCTGGAGCCCTGATATCAGTAAGTAAAAAAAGGTAAAGGACCCGGATGGTTTAAGTCCAGTCAAAGGCGACTATGAGGTTGCGGTGCTCATCTCGCCTTTCAGGCTGAGGGAGTCAGCATTTGTCCACAGACAGCTTTCCAGGTCATGTGGCCAGTGTGACTAAACTGCTTCTGGCGCAACAGGACACCGTGACATAAACCAGAGCTCACGGAAATGCTGTTTACCTTCCCACTGCAGCAATACCTATTTATCTACTTGCACTGGCGTGCTTTTGAACTGCTAGGTTGGCAGGAGCTGTGACAGAGCAACCATAGCTGTCAAGCATCCCTTATTTGAAGGGACAGTCCCTTATTCTAGCGCCATGTCCCGCTGCTGTCCCTTATTGATGGATGTCCCTTAAATGTCCCTTAAATGGTGTCCCTTAAATTTCAAAGGAAGCAGCTCCTCTCCCTCCCTCCCTGCCGGCCAGCCAGGGAGGAGGGAGGCTCCAACTGCGTTGCTTGGCTGTGTTAATCACCCAATAAGAAGTCTAAGAACGACTGGGGGGTGGAGCTTGCATGCCTTGTGCTGATTAAATCAGCTGCGTTGCCTGGGGACTCGCCTTTGCTCAGCGCTTCCCAGCGGAGAGGTGACGGTGGTTTTCCTTGAGGCTTCATTTGGCTGCTGGCTGGGCTTTCTGGCTTTGTCTCAGAGGGGCTCAGAAGTTGAACATACCTGTGCTGAGTGCTCGGATCAGAATCGGATGGATACATCATTGATGGCTCACTCACCCTTGCTGGTGAAAAGGTCTGTCTGGAGCGGGGGCACATGGTGGGGGGAAATGAAAGGAGATCTCGTGGGAAGGGGGGCTTTTGAATTTGTTTTTGAGGCTCCTTCAATTGACTTATGGGGGAAAAGAAAGGAGCTGGTTGACTAAAATGGTGGGTGACTGGCGATCTCGTGGTGAGGGGGGGAGGCTGTGTGTGGCTAGTTAATGGAAGCTGAGGGGGGTTTTGAATGCTGGATGCCATTTTGTTGCATGTGCTGCTGCAAACTTTGCAGTGCAAAGCCAGGCCAGGGAGCCATCTTAAGTTGAGGCTGCATAGGCCTTGTGGTGCATGTGATTCAGATTCTATTCAGTTGAACCTCTGGTTACAAAGTTGGTTGGACACTGCTCTCAAAGCTACCAGCATGAGTTTGACCAGACTGCAGGAGGCCAGGAAGACTGGAGTGCCTGGAACAGGTGAGGCTGCAGGTCCCTTATTTTGGCTGCTGATCCCTTATTTTCAAATCTGTAAGTTGACAGCTATGAGAGCAACAGGAGCTCACCCTGTTGCACCACAGCGCCACGCATGTCCAGTTCACCTGATATCAGCAGGACAAGTTCTACAGAAGTTTCCACAGCAGCAATATGGGCTGGTGGGAGACATGGCATGGGCTCTCCCTCTTCAAAGCTGGAGTTCTCTCTCTGATCTAGGAGAGAGATCGAGATCATTTGCTTCCTGTGATCCTCCCCCAAAGGGCTTTAGAATTGCAGAGTTAATGCATTACATAACTTGATTCTAAATGTTTGCCACAATGTTCTAAACTCATTGATGTGCATTGATGTGCTGAATTCGGGCAAAATATCCCATCCTACCGTTTGGCATATCAGCTCAGAAATGAGCCAAAAGTCAAGCAAAAGCAAGTGGTGGGAAAGAATCACTTCATTCCTGTCAGGAAGTGTGTAACACACCACAAAAGCTGCCTTGGGAACACAATTAAGATCACAGGAAGATCACCAGGAAACTCAGTGGTGCTGATAATGCCAGATTGCAGGTTTGATTCTGCAGCTCTCCAGGGTTTGGGGGCAGCCACCTTTCCCAGCCCATTCTGGAGATGGGAGGGATTGAACCCAGAGCCTTCTGTATGCGTAGTTGTGTTCTACCACTAAGCTACAGCAGCCGTACTCTGCAACTGCGCAGCAGCACACCACTCTGAGCTCATGCTTCATTCCAGTTATCTTGAGCTCTGCCACTATTTAAGCAGTTACAAGTTCACCATTCTTCGGCATGTATAATAGGGCGAAACATCAAAAGGAGAAGTCAAATGCTGAATGTAATCCCCATGGGCAGGCAGGTAAGCCGGGGAATGTTGATTTGTGTTATTTTAATTGCTTATAGTACATCCGATTCAGTTCAGGCACTCTGAATTCAATTCTGCTTTCTGCCAATGCATAACAGATCGCCCAGCTATTCAGCGCAGCGGAGAGTAGTTTCCCCAGAACACTCGTAGAAAATCGTCAGGATTTGTAGTATCAAGGTCATGGTGGAGAGCTGCTACTGATTTATTCTTCCACGTTCGCATCCTTGAATGGAAGCTTCACAGAAGTTAGGTGGCTTAAACAAATCGTACTTTTGTGCACAATTGGTGTGCATGCCTCTAAGGCCACATTCAGAGGTTCATATCACACTCCTTGATCTTTATGCACCCACTCAATGGCATCCTAGTGACCCATGTTGCACTTCTTTTGTGCTTTGAGAAATACCATATAATAGACTCTGGGCCACAATCCTAGATGGAAGAAGCTAGGAGATGCTGTGCCCCACAGGTGCTGAGTTGCACCTAGAATTGTGTGTGTGTGTGTGTGTGTGTGTGTGAGAGAGAGAGAGAGAGAGAGAGAGAGACATCACATGTACAGTTCATGTCATGTGCGTTTGATGTAACTTGCATTGCACGTTACATGCATGATGACTCTCACATCAGGAGAGGCCAGCCAGACCTCCTCCCATGCTACATTTGTGCACCAGGCTATGCTGGTCCATGCATCATCTCCCAATGCTGGATGGCCCAGGGCAACATCCAATCGGGTCTCCTTTGCCCCCTCAAGATTGGGGGGGGGGGTGATCCCCATGCCAGTGGACATTGGGGGGTTGTAGAAGCCTCAGCCCCATAGAGTTGGTGCACCTGCTGTGTCCCTTAGGGGAGGGTTGAAGGTCAGTGGTCCAGCATCTGCTTTGCTTGTCCCAGGTTCAGTCCCTGGCATTTTCACATAGGCTGGGAGAGACCTCTTGTCATGGAGTCATTCACCTGCTGAACAGCAGCCTGAAGGGGGAGAAGAGGGAGTGACTCCACCTGTAGCTGATGAGCCTTTAAGGACACAGAGGAGAAGGCGCTGATGGGAACCAGCAGGCTTCAGCCTTCTTATGCAAAGCTTCCAGCAGCAGTCAAATGCTGGAATCAATGCTTGTAGTCCTTGACCTTACCTTGCTGCTTCCTGCTTGTTTAGGCCCTTGATCCTTGGATTCCCTGACCCCTGGACCGTGTGAGCATGTGGATTGCTGTTTGCCCGACCCTAGGACTGGACCTGACTTTGAATGCTGACTCTGCCTCCAGGCAAGTACACTTCAGAGACTCTTCTGGTTGGCTGGCCTCCCATTCCACTAAGCTCTGCACTTGGTTGCTTAGCAACGAGACAATGACACCACTCTCCTACACTAGAGCAGGGGTGGAGAACCTCTGGACAGTGGGCCAAATCTGACCCCCCCCCGGCACTTGGCTCATGAGGTAGCTTTCCCCAAACTATACCCGCCTGCTCCAAACCTGATGTCATAATGCAATGTTGAATGAGGGCACAGGTAGGAACCTGGCTGTTTTCCCTACAGGAAGCAGGATTGAATCCCTCATCTTATCTGCTGATGGGTGTATGTGGGAGTTAAGAAGTCCTGTTTGATGTCTGTCTCCCCCCCCCCCCACTCCCACAGGCCAATTTCATCAGGTGAGTGGTCAAAGTTGGTGCACAGGGTGGTGGATATAAAGATCTGGTCTGCTAGGCCTGAAAGGTCCCCCAGTTTTGCACTAGAGATATGGTGCCAGTCTGGGTAGACAAGACATGGACCAATGGCTTGAGCCGGTGTGGTGTAGTGGTTAAGAGCAGTAGACTTGTAATCTGGTGAACCGGGTTCACGTCTCCGCTCCTCCACATGCAGCTGCTGGGTGACCGTGGGCCAGTCACACTTCTTTGAAGTCTCTCAGCCCCACTCACCTCACAGAGTGTTTGTTGTGAGGGAGGAAGGGAAAGCAGAACGTTAGCTGCTTTGAGACTCCTTCAGGTAGTGATAAAGCGGGATATCAAATCCAAACTCTCCTCCTCCTCCTCCTCCTCCTCCTCCTTGACTGGTATAGAATTATAGAACTGTAGAGTTGGGAGGGACCCCAAGAGTTATCTAGTCCAACCCCCTGCAATGCAGGAATCTCAGCTAAAGCATCCATGACAGCTATCCAACCTCTGCTTAAAAGCTTTCAAGGAAAGAGAGTCCACAACCTCCTGAGGGAGACCATGGAAAGCAGCTCCTGTGTTCCTCTTTTTTTTTTTTTTTTTTAATAATATTTATTGAGATTTCAAAAGAAAACAGAAAAAATACAAAAATTACACAAAAACAAAAAATAAGAAATACAAAAACTTACACACAATATGAAAAAGATACAAAAGTAAAAAAAATAAAAATATGAAAAAGTAAGAAATACAGAAGAAAAATAATAGTAAAGAAGAAAAAACATTAGACCTCCTCCTCCTCCCTTCCTTTGTATTCTAGTTATTAATTATCCCAGCAAATCCTTTCCATTTTTCTATTATATAATAGACCTTACAATTTAAAATTTAAATCTTAATTATACCAACTTCTTATATTCATAATGTTCTTTCACAAATCCTTTCCTTCTATTATAAAATAAACTTTAAAATTTAAAATTTAGATCTTGACTTTACCCACTTCTTATATTCATAATGTTCTTTCATAATTCTTTATACATTTTTGCTAAAGCCAGGTAAATTCTTCCAACATTTTCCTATCATTCATTTTTCTCTCATTCTATCATTCATCAGCTTTATAAAACATTCTATTAATTAAAAAAAAAAAAAAAAAAAAAGAGAGAAAGAAGCATATAATCAAGTCCAATCTTAATCCAACGTCCCTTCCTCCTGGTTTCGGGATTTGTCAGTCCTTATTCATCAAACTAACCCGGTGACCTTATGTCCGAGGCCCTCAAGTCACTTCCATGGCCCTTCCGCAGCTTTTCTTCATATTTGTGGCTGTAGTCACTTGCTCGTAGTAGCTCCAACTTAATAGTGCTTTTAACCCTTCTCATCAGATCAGATCCTTTTCCCTGTTCATCGCTGCATTCCATGTAGTATTTAAGAGCATACTTCAAGGGCCCCCCAAATTTGTGGACCCCCACATTTCCAGACATGTCGCAGCCTGTTACTGAATTTAAAAAGTCCAAATATCCCAACATAGGGGGGTCAATCCAGCCCCCCATTTCGAAACCACACCGAACTTTCCCTTCCCATATCTGATTTTTCCCAGATTCCATTATCAAGTCCGAAGGATCAAGCTCCTGTTGAGACTGTTCTGTCAAGCCACACTCCTGATTTAATGCCACAAACCCCTGTTCTGTCAAAACACACTCCTGGTTTGAATCCTGGATAGACTCCACATCTATTCCCACAGTTTGATCAACGCCTTCCACTGCCAGTCCGAGATTTCCAGTCGACTTGGCCATCTGGTTCACCTTATCATGTAGTTCTTCCAGTAGAATATTTGTTTCTTTGAGCAGGCAAACCACAGCTTCTGAAAACATTGTTGCACTCTCCCACGGTTCTTTGTAACAACTGTCAAGTCCTTGGCATTAGTTACAGTTTCTAAAGCTCCCCCTAAGGGTAAGACTTATATTTGTTTCTGATACATTTCCATGTTACTTAAAATCCTTTATCCTTATATATTCGTTTAAAGTGTGAAAGGGAACAATAGAGTCACAAAAATTCTCTTCTTTTAACCATCTGACACACACAGATACCTTGATTTGTTCACGTCAGTCCTGACTTCCCGCTCCAGGATCAGGACGAAAATAACTTCCTTTTACTGCTTCAAATAGTCCAAAAAAATATTCCCAATTTAAAATGTTGGATTCCACTCTTTTAAAAGCAATTTTCAAAGCTCTAGTACAATTTGACTTTGCTTTGTTATGTTTACAAAAGAACGGAAGGGTGACTTCCTGTTTAGCCCTTACCGCTCCGTACCAAATTCAATCAATTTTTCTTTCTTTTTTTTATAGTCCAATTCTGCCCTTTTCACTAATCTTCCTTTAGTATCCCAATTTGTCCAAATTCTGGGTACTCACGGATATTTGTTTTAAAGTCCGAATTGTCCAGGAAAAAAGGCAGCGCTCTCCGGCAACAGCTACGCGGCTTCACTCCACAAAAGAAGCAGACGACTCACAGCACAGCGCCTTCACTTCCCCGCTCTGTTCCGGAGCCCGTTGCCGGGTTCCTTTGCAGACCGGGGGGGCGCAAACAGTGCCCGCCGAGTCCCAGGGTCACAGGCTTCACCCGCCTGTGGTTTGAAGGGTCCCCGCTGCGCCGAAGCGGTTTTAGACCCGATTTCTGTGGAGCGATCTCCCTCTGGGTTAGAGGGATTCCGCCATTGCCGTTGGCGCCACCTCCGGAAGTCCTGTGTTCCTCTTTAATGCTGTTTGGGAACAGATTTTCAAGGCAGGCCCATTTCAAACTGAGCAAGGCAAAGGTTGTGGCAACACTGGCTGTGCCCATTGATTCAATACCGCAGAAGTTGAGATGCAAGCCTAATGAGGGCAGGGTTTTGAGAAAAGGCTCTGTTGCTGTTCACATTTCAGGAAAGGAGGTTAAAGCGCCTTTCATCTTTGCTGCAGCTTAGGAGAAAGTGACTGAGATATGTGTGGGTCTTTGCAGGATCAGAAATCCCACTGGAAAGCTTTTGCGAGCCATCTTTTCTCTGTAGGCTTGTCCATCTATATTGCTTTTGGATGCGGTCCTAAGGGGGGAAAAGGGGAATATGGCTTACTTCAGTATGCAATGTGAGAAAAGGCTCCTGCCTCTCCTTTTGAATGGCAGTCCCAAGTAATGCAAACCTTGATGCAGCACACGTCTAAGCTCTTTGGAGTACCATTATTTTCAACCTGAGAGTTAACTACATGCACAAATATCTTCTGCCGAAAGCTGTGGCACTTTTAAGTGCCTAACTTTGGATCATGTTGCTGGTTAAATTATTTCACTTGATTCTTGAAGCAACAGTAAATATATGTGTGATCAGACACTGATTTTCACTTTTTTGGGGGGGGGGAGGTTGCAGTGAGCTGGGGGGGGCAGATGCCAGTGGTGGTCTGGGTCAGTGGGTGGAGCAACGAATGTAAATTTTAACCCCTTACTGTAGGCTAATTTTCACACCCACCTGCTCTTTCCCCCAGGCATGGTCAGAGTCCAATGGAAGACTTGAAGTAGCCTAAATACGCAAGGAACCAGCAGCACCAGTGAGGAACCTGCCTTGGGGATATGTGGTGTGGCTTGGGAGGGTGTGTGCCCAAGAGTCCCAAGGAGAAAGTAGAGATCTTTGGAGGGCTTGAATTCATTCCCTGAGATCCCCACCCCTTCTTTAATGAATGCTTCCACCATAATGTCTTTCAGAATCCCCCCTTTTTCTTCCGGCTATAGATTTCACAGGCTGATGAGTCAGTTACACCAACTTCAATCCCCATTGCTATGATATAATTGCACACAGACACAGGGACAGAACCTTCATCTGTAAAATAGAAGAGATGCCTAAAGCGGCTTTCATATGTACCCCAATAATCTCATGGCGAGACACAAGGATTTGGTCGTCTGCAGCTGTTTGCCTCTGCTATTTAGGTCCACACCAACTTCCTCTACCCTGACTACCCTTGATAAGTATGAAAAGGAAATTAAACCTATAGCTGGATTGCTGCTCAGATGGCCCCATCGCATCAAAGCGAGCACACAGCTTAGCTGGCTGTCAGAATGCCTCCTGACTCCATTATTCTGCTATTATAACTTTTCAAGGGTACTTGCAAGATCGAGCCTCATATGGTAACTGGTGTGAGTCGAATTCCATCAGGAGAAAGCTGCTGTTCTGTGCAGAAAGGGGTCGGGGGAATTACGTCCTTATCTGCATGATTTTTCAGTTACATTAACACAAGGACAGCAGCAAATTCGTTCCTCACAATTCCCTGTACTCTCCGATGCGGTCATTAAAATCCCCATTCAGAGAGCTTGAGTCTCAACATGTTTCAACATACCCCAAACCCTTTTATATACTTCTGTTTGGCTCCCAAGGACATTCGCTTGGAAGTAACAGCTGATGACAATACCCCCTGGTTGTGCCAGAGGCTGTAGAGAATATGAGGAGAGGCCTAGAGAGGCCTGAGGGCATACTTGTGCCATCCTAGCCCCTGCCCTCTATCCTCTGGGATCTTCAACACAACAAAGGGCCAGTGATGGCAATTGAGGGATGGCCAAAATGGCCCTAGGACCTGCTGCAGCCAACCTTGATCTGCTCCAGAAGGCTTCTGCCAGAGTGAGTAACTGGGATTTTGGCTCCTTCCCTAATCTACTTCCATAAGATAAGACCCGAAGAATCTTCATGGAGGGGTGGTAAGACCAAGACAAGGGGTTGGAGGAATTGCCTGTTACCCACCCTGGGGGAAAAGAGAAGACTGAGAAGTGATATGACAGGCATCTTCAGATACCTCAGGGGCTGTCATGTGGAAAATGGAACAAGCTTGTTTTCTCCTGCTCCAGAGGGTAGGACCCAAACCATTGGCTTCTAGTTACAAGAAAGGAGAGGCCTACTAAACATCAGGAAGACGTTTCTGAAAGTAAGAACCACTTGACAGTGGAACAGACTGCCACAAGGGGTTGTGGGCTCTCTTTCCTTGGAGGTTTATAAGTAGAGATTGGGTGGCCATCTGTCAGGGATGCTCCAGTTCAGATTCCTGCATTGCAGGGGGTTGGACTTCTTCTTCTTCTTCTTCTTCTTCTTCTTCTTCTTCTTCTTCTTCTTCTTCTTCTTCTTCTTCTTCTTCTTCTTCTTCCCCTTCCCCTTCCCCTTCCCCTTCCCCTTCCCCTTCCCATCTGCCTGGGTTTCCCCAGCCACTCAGGGTCCGTTCCAGCTCTACAATTCTTTGATTCTACAGTATTTGTGGGGTGTGAAACACAGAGTAGTCAAATACAACATTCCTAGAGTGGACATAAAAAGGGGGTGTCTGGACGGGAAGCTGGTCAGAGCTTCCTGTTTCCTCCTTGCTGGGACAAACTTCCTCTACATGTGACCAGAGGTGGGTGTTACCTCACCTGTGCAGGTAAGAAAATAGTTCAGGGAAGGGCAGCCATCTCTCTCTCTGACTCCATTCTTCCAAGAAGCAACATCTCCTTAGCCTGAGGTGCTTTCTTGTCTTCCAGCCAAGAGAGGACAAAGGAACTATCTCCTTATGGGATAGATTCCATGTGTATATATTTTGTAACTTAAGTCTGCCTTCTGGGATCCATCTGTGAACAGGATGTGTGAGTAAACTATTTTATACTTTTATACAAGACTGTGTCATGTCTATTCTTTTTATGAGGGAATAATGGGGGATTACCAGGAAACTAAAATGAGACTTGTACAAGCCTGGCAAACCTATCTGCTGTGAAAGTTTAAAAGGGGAATGTTACTCTGCTAAATTGTAGAACTTGTTAACACAAGTTGGGAAGGATATAATTAAACAATATATCCTCTTCTGCCTCCCTGAACATTCCCACAGTATTGAGTCCTAATAGGACACAGATATGGACAGTGTTGGAGTCCTTTTAGCATCACTCCCTATTTTAGAGGTAAATGAGGCAGAGTAAGGATGCCTTTTCTCTGTATGCCAGGGACAGGATTAATTTTTAAAATGGCTTTTGTTACAAACTCTATGCAAAACACCAATTATTCAGCAACATCATCAGTCTTCAAAAAGGATTGCAGCGCTAGAATTAAGCTTTAGCTGCATGGCTCAAACTACTAGCCCCACAAAACTCCCCACCCCACCCTCTCCAGATTTTCTCAGTATCCATCAGCTCCACAGAAATGAATGGCAATTCAAGCGTTCAAGAAAACCCTGAATGTTTATTTATTTATTCCTTAGGTGATTTAAAGTTAAAGTGATTGGGGAGCTGACATTCAGGGTGCTTTCAGACATCACAAATTACTGCCTACCAGGAGCTCAATGAACTAAGAGAATATGTGACATCCTAAAATAGCAGTTCTGCAATTAGACTTGCCAGATGTCAGAGTGCAGCCCAGAGTTTGAGCCATTTATCAAAGTCTGTGGGCCAGAAACTACAGGCAGTGTGTGTGTGTGTGTGTGTGTGTGTGTGTGTACATATGCCGATGTGCCTTCTGTGTCCAGAAGGATGAATTCTGCCACACACACAAACAGCATTGGTGGAGCTCGAAGGTCATTGCAATTGATTGATCAAACCACTCTTGACCTGGTCACCTTCCCTCAATCTATGGAAGCAATAAAAACCAAGTAAGCATCTTTGTGAAGGTAAGTATTTATTCCCTATAACTATTTATTCCTGTTGCAAAGCCACAGTTCCCTCTTCTCCCTTATTGCTTCTCTCTGGTTGCAGCATCCAGAGTGTAAAGGCGTAGACAACTCAAGCTTTTGCGACTGCTCCTTGCCATCTCTTAGTGCACCTATGAATGTTGTTATTCCTTATATATGTAGTAAGTTTGGAGAACAAGAGACCTAACAGAGGTGTTCATGTTAACTGGTCGGAATTGCTTTCCTTTGGATAGCCCTCCTGCAAATGTAAGATGAACCCTGTTGGATCAAAGCAAAGGACATAAGAAGAGCCTGCTGGATCTGGCCAATGGCCCATCTAGTTCAGTATCCTGTTCTCCCAGTGGCCACCCTGTTGCCTGTGGAGGAAAACCCACCAGCAGGATCTGAGTGCAAGAGGCATCTCCCATCCTGAAATTTCCAGGAACTGATATTCAGAAAAATTATGGCTTCTAACCATGGAACCATGGAGGCAGAGCATAACCACTGTGGCTAGTAACCCTCTCCCCCATGAATCTGTCCATTCCTTGTTTAAAGCCATCCTTGTTGGTGGCCACCATTGCCTCTTGTGGGAGAAGGTACCATAGTTTAAGCATGCACTCCATTTTATCTGTTCTGAATCTCACGCTATTCAGCTTTATTTCCAGACCATGTCATTAACGAGGAGGCAGGTTTAGTCGTTCTTTGAAGACTATCCCTGCCTCCAGGTCTTGACACCTCTGGTCTTGACTGGGAGGATACTGGAATCAACAAGGGAGACCCACATGACCTGAAGGTGCTGCTATGCAATGCCAGGTCAATGATTCACAAGACGGCTGCCATCCACGAATTGATCGTGGATGGAGGACTTGACCCGGCATGGTGTTATGTACTGAGTTGAATAGGATCCAAACTGCAGCAGTCTGATTGGTCCTAGAACAACAGGATCCAAATTGCAGCAGTCTGATTGGTCCTAGAACAATAGGATTCAGAATGCAGCAGTCTGATTGGTCCTAGAACAATGCAGCAGCATGATTGGTTGGCAGGAACCACCCAATCATGCTCCAGATATAAGTGAATCCACAACCTGATTGGCTTACAGTAGAATTCCAGAATTAGCCAATCATGTGCAGCCCATTGTGTAAATAATGTATATAAAGCAGATACTTTGAGGGGACATTCATTCATTCCTCCTCACCACTATGAGCTGAATAAAGAGCATGAAATCACTTTGCGACTCTGAGTATATTTCACTGGCGACGAGGATGGGATCCCGCTGAGCTGACTGCCACACACAGCACCGCAGCACCGCCACCTGCCGCACCGCTGCCTCGCACCGTGTATCCAGGCTTCAGCTCCGGGACACAAGGAACTCAGAATGGCAACCGACAGCAGCTTCTCGCCGTTCAACCCAGCATCTGGAGACTGGGAAGCGTACGCCTCCCATTTCACCTTCCTCCTAGAAGCCAAAGGGGTCACCGATGAAGAAGACGCCAAGAAGAGGGCGATATTCTTCACCATCTGCTGAGAGGAGACGTTTGAAATCGCCCGGGCTCTCCTTGCACCGGAAGACGTCGCTACTGTTCCATACAAAACAATAATGGAACAGCTGAAGGGGCACTTTTCACCGCAGCCCTCAGTGGTGGCTCGTCGAAATGCCTTCTATGCAAAGCGGCAAGCCCCTGGGGAAACCATAACTGGGTCTGTGACCTCTTTCCGCCAAGCCGCCCGGTTCTGCAACTTCTCAGAGCTGGAGAACATGCTTCGTGACCACCTCGTCGGTGGCCTGAAGGATAAGAAGCTGCAACGACGCCTCTACGCTAAGAAGGACCTAACGTTCCAGGTTGCTCTGGAGGAGGCCCTGGCAACGGAAGCTGCCTAGAGGTTGACGCAAGAGGCATGGCCGAGCCTGCCATCCCAACCAAGGGTCCACCACGAAGACCTCACTGACAACTCAGGATCTGACAGGGAGGAGGTGCACCGAGTACAGCAGCACACTTAAGCAGCCCACATACCACAGCTGCCTCAACGAGAAGGAGGGAACTGCGCAAGCTGCGGGGCAAGTCACGAGAGGAGGACCTGCCGTTTCTGTAACGCAGAGTGCAGGCAGTGCAGAAAATCGGGACACATCGCCCGGGTGTGTTGAGCTTGGCCCACCCGACGCCAGGCATCAGATGACCAATCCAAGAGCCCCAGGTCCTGGGGCCCAACGCACCAAGGCAACTCGACGGAGCTCACGGACTTCCAGGTATACCAGTTGCCCCACCCCAACGTAGAGAAAATTTATGTAGAGGTACAGATAGAGGGGCCCCATGCCGCATGGAGCTTGACACGGGTTCAACTCTATCCATAATCTCGGCAAGGACCTTAAGGAAACTGTGTCCTACTGGGGGTCCCAAACTCAGGCCGGCCCCATTCACCCTCCGGGACTTCCAGAAATGTAAGGTCCCCACAATGGGGGTGGGGACCTTCAGGGTGCAATACCGAGGGTGGACGCGGCAACTGGATTTGCTTGTGGTCAAGGGCCCCCACATTAGCTTACTGGGATTGGCATGGTTTGGACCACTGGGGCTAGCCGTCACCGGGGTGAACCACACTAGCTTACAAGTGGACGTGGACGCCATATGCAAGGAATTTCCGGGGGGTTTCGATGGGAAATTGGGACAGTATACGGGCCCCCCCATTGCTCTACAGCTTGACCCCACAGTACGACTGGTCAGGCTCAAGGCCCGCCGGGTCCCGTTCACCCGGAAACCCCGTATAGACGAGGAATTGGACTGGCTCGTGGAGCAAGGAGTGCTGGAGCCGGTGCCTAATGCCCCCTGGGAAACCCCAATTGTCACACCCGTCAAGCCTAATGGTTCGGTCCGCATCTGCGCAGACTACAAATGTACCATAAACAAGGCCCTCATGGCCCATGCATACCCAGTGCCAGTGGTCAGCCATGTCCTTGCCACCCTGGCTGGGTCGAAAATTTTTGGCAAGCTGGACTTGGCCCAAGCATATCAACAGCTGCCAGTAGATGAGGCCACAGCAGAGGCACAGATGATTGTGACGCACAGAGGAGCGTTCAGGGTAAAGCGGCTGCAATTCGGTGTCAGTGTGGCACCAGGCATATTCCAGAATCTAATGGAATCGCTCCTTAAAGGGATTCCTGGCGTCACCCCCTTCTTCGATGATGTGTTGATTGCCGGGCCCACACCAGAGGAGTTTGAGGACCGCCTCTGCACCGTTCTGCACCGTTTCCAGATGGCGGGTCTCAAGGTGAAGCGGGAAAAATGTCTACTAGGAGTGCCTCAGGTGGACTTTCTGGGATTTATGGTGGACGCAGAAGGGGTCCACCCGACTGGGGACAAGGTACGGGCCATTTGTGATGCCCCAGCGCCCAAGAGCAAGACTGAACTTCAGGCCTTCTTGGGACTATTGAACTTTTACCGTTCTTTCCTTCCCCACAAGGCGGCGGTAGCGGAGCCCCTACACAGACTCCTGGACAAGTGGGCCCCTTGGGTGTGGGGCCAGCACCAGGGGGCTGCATTCCAGGCAGTCAAGGACTTGCTTGTCTCAAACTCGGTCTTGGCACACTTCGTCGAGAGGCTGCCGGTGGTGCTAGCATGTGACGCCTCGCCCTATGGCATTAGCGCTGTCCTGGGACACCAGCTCCCAGATGGAAGAGAGGTACCGGTAGCATACTTTTCCCGGACACTCAACGCAACCGAGCGGAACTACTCGCAAATAGACAAGGAGGGGCTGGCAATCGTGAAGGGAGTAAAAAAATTCCATGATTTCTTGTACGGGCGGCCCTTCACCGTGGTGACTGACCACAAGCCGTTGCTTGGCTTGTTTGCCCCCGAAAAGCAGACCCCCCAAGTGCTGTCTCCTCGCGTCCTCAGGTGGTCAATTTTCCTTGCCAGCTACCAGTATGCACTGATTCACCGCCCGGGGAAGGGATGGGCCATGCGGACGCCCTCAGCAG